GCCATTTCGGTCGCCGGAAACGGTCACCCCTACTCTATGAAGTCTGGAACCTCTTTGGTCCACGCTGTCATGGAAAAGTACTTGTTCAGGGAAAAGATGCTCGCTTCTTGTTTTATGGCACCGGATCCCTTGACTGAAGCGAATAGCCTCCATGATCCCAACTTGGAACACGTGTTGCAGGACAAAGAGAGGCTGTATCAGTACTTGTTCGGAGAGTCCGTAAGAGGAAGCCATGCATATCAATCCACTGCGGAGCCTCCAGGTGAGAATGAGTCTGAGCGGAGGAAGAGGGAGAAGGTAAGGAGAGAGAACAAGATGCCATGGATGGATGAGTACTGGGGAGTCCTTCAGCCAGAACCGATATACTCGAGGACTCAAAGGTGGTACGTCATTGATGACTTTAAGGAGGGTGAGGAGATTTGCTGCGATTACTGTTTGGTCTGCAATCCCATAGACTCCGATCAGAAAGACGATTGCTATGCAGAATGCATCAACGGAGCAGCAAATAGGTGCCGTGGGATGTCTGCAGAAGACTACGTCCAGAAGCGATTCCATGCATGTGCGCGAATGCTTCACAACTTCGGCATGGGACAAACGGTATCTTCTCCCACCGTCATGATCTCCGAGATGAACCCGCACGAAGACTTGATGAAGTTCTTACACGAGGCGATGATCATCTTCAACGAGAATCCAGGTTTCCAGAAGGAGATCTCGTTCTTCGGGGGGATCAGGTTGTCATCAACAATGACGGAGAACTTCTTCAAAACGAGGAGAGGACCCAGCATCCATGTGGAAAAGCAGATAGTCGGCAGCGCCAAGTACTACCAGGGATCTTATGACCTTGGCAACGTGTGCTACACCAAGTACCTCAAGACCATACTGGAGCCCGATGTATTCCGCACTATATTCGGAGATGATCCTACGGAGGAACGGGTAGGTGACATGGTGGAAGCGCTGCTGGGCATGCTCGAAGTTGCTCAACTCTTCAGACACATGTTCAAGGGATGGGGTGACATCGAAGCTTTGAGGACGGGATTAGAAGAATCCATCAAGCGCGTCACTGCATCGCTGTACGACAGGACAACGTATGAGAACCGAAAGCGATCGACGGTCAGGACCTTGGACCCGCACTCTGAAGAGGCGGCAAACGTGGCACTGATTCTCGTTCGCATGAGGACCATGCCGCCTCCTGAATTCGACATCGACCACTTCTTCGAAATTGGGAAAGAACCAGAACAGGGAACAGAGGCTACTGACCAGCCCGAGGCCGAAGGTGTCGATATGGAGACTGAATGTGAACAGGAGAAGGAGGAGCAAGACGTTGACATGTCCGACCCGAAGACATCAATACTGCAAGCCATCGACGAATTTGAGGAGAAGATCGGGCAAGCAGAATTCTGCATCCACTGCATGAAGTCGGGACACACAACTCTCAATTGCGAGAAGACCCCTTCATCTTCACCTACAGTCACCTCAGTGTTGAGTGATTGGAAGAAGAGAGTGAAGGGAGAGGTTGCACCCGACGATGTACCATCTGGACACCCTACCGAGGAGCCTAAGAAGAAGAAGCAGAGAGCATCGCCTACTCCAGATAGGAAGGTCGACAGCGAGTTCAGGCGAAAAGAGATGCTGAAAGCAAGAGTCGTGACAATGTTCGACCATGACGGATTCACCTTGATCGAAAGTGCCGATGGAGTCGAAGGAGGGACACATTCCTACAATGGGCGGAAGCTTGCGGAAGTAGGCCCTAGGGATATGAGGGTGGTGTACGAATTCGTAGAGAAGGCATTTGTGCACTCCAGTTCCCTCGCACCAAAGGCATGTCATCACTTCTATCCCCTACCGACACGGAGAGAGAAGGGATACAAGCCGATCGACCCCATGACGATGGTCGGGAAAGTTGAACTAGTACCGATCAACGGAGTCACTTTCGCTGCAACGAACTCCGACTACGGCAACCACAAGTATCCGACTCCATACTGTCGAGTACCTGAATACAGCCAAGCGAGCCAAGCCCTGAGTCGTCGATTGGGAGCGAAGTTGAGACATCGAATTGGACGCCAGTTCAGGACAGGTGGAAGACTCACACCAATCAAATGCGATGAAGGCGCATGGGTGTCGTGGGAAGACCTGTTAGGTGATAATGCAGTTTGGGAAGACGGTTATCACTACGGCAACGTAGACACCGTGACCAAGAAGGCGCGTTTGGAGAAGTACTTCGACCAGAACTATGAGTGTTTCCGCATAACCAAGAGGATCAGATTCCAAATGTTGGCGGTCCGCGTTCGCCCTGAGGAACTCAATGACCCCGATGACCCGATGGAGAAGGAATGGATTGACGAACTCAAGGGCATGGGAATCTCTAAAGGAAGACTCCACCACAGCAATGGATGGTGCTTTCCCGTGGCCGTAAGAGCAACCTCAGCACACTCAACGGACGGCGGAGGTTATGACGTCACCATCAACATCGACCACATTGGATCGAGAATGACCAACGACATGGCCCTATCTATGGTGACTGCATTTCACGCTACCAATCTTGGAGCGCTGACTTCAATCATGCGACGGGGGCTAGTGCCAGGAGGTCTCGGTTCATCGGGGAGGGATTCTATCCACTTCACATGTTTTCCGCCATGGGCCTGGGAGCAGGGCTACAAGGGAAAACCTTGGCTGGGTCGTAAGGTCGCATTGAGTGATCGCCCAGTGGTTCTCTACATTCCGGTGTGGAAGCTACAGGAGTACGGACTTCTCATCTCAGCGACTGGATCTCTATTGGTCGAGAACGTCGTTCCCTTCGATGAGGTTAAAGGGGCATGGTTGCAATGCGACAATGCGGAACCCGGACAGCCTGAGGAGATCGAATGGATCAGGTTACTCAATAGGGAACCCGACCCTGGAAGCTACCTTGTTCTGGAGTCCAAATACGGAAACCCGATCATGATCCCACGCTTTCAGAAGCTTGAGAGTTTAGCGGTTGAAGTTCAGGACGATACCTACTCCGAGGACGACGCCAAAATCTCAAAACTATTGGGTATGATCGAGGAGAGTGGCGTATACCCAGAATATGATAGCACCGAGTGGCAGGAAATCTTTGAGGAGATCGTGTACCGCCGGGCAATGAAAGACTATGACTCAAGGCCGTGTCCTAACTGTCTTGGCGAAGTCGATGTGCGGTTGACGATATGTCCGCACTGCGTAGCGGTTTTGATCGCGAATGGGAAACTCACGCATGTGGTACCCAAGGAGACAAGAGACCGCAATCAACGATCACCTCCGAAAGATGTCCCAGCCAGTTCTTCCGGTGAAGCAACCTCTGCTGCAGGTGCAAACATCGACGACGTCATCAAGAATGCACGTAAGACAGCCGAAGAGGTCATTGAGGTCGAGGAATCCGAAGGAGAGGAAGAAGAGGAAGTCCCTATCATTTTGAAGGAACGACCGGACGAAGCTGAAGGCGAACCCGAGTATCGGGAGGTCCCTCAAGATGGATACGGGAATGAACTTCCACAGCCTTTCCCCTTCGCGATTGACGAATTGCCACAAGAAGCTGCGATCCCCATCGACCACAACTTTGCAGTCACACAGCAGTTTGATCTGAGGTTGATGAAGTTGATCAAGAGCTTGGCCAACGCGACGTTCGACATCAACTGCTTTGAGAGTCGTGAAGACGTACTGCGAAAGTTCGACGATGGACAGCGGCGCGACACTCCGTACAATAGATGGCCAATAGTACCGAATGATCCGGATACTGGGTTTCCAAGACGTCTCCAGAGAGCCGAGGTCGTAGGCATGAGCAAATGGACCAACGACGTGTTTGCAACAGAAGCGTGGCAGATCTATGAATTCCACGCCCACGTTGTTCACCCGATGATGATCACTGCAATCCGCTGCGGGCTTAGCCACAAGTACCTCAAAGAGGTCGGCAGCACTCGGCGTAACATGAGTGATCCAAAGGCTCGGAGGTCTGAGACCCAGGAAGAGATCATCGAGAAACTGGCATTCATCTCCAATTTCATCAGACGCTTGATCAGGAAGACCTTCGGAGCGAGCCGATATAGCTACTACCAGAAACCAGATGACGAAAGTGCCGCTCCATACAAATTCATCGACATTAGCCCCGCCATCAAATCGGAGCGGAAGAATGTCACGAAGGAGATCCTCGTTGCATGCCGCTACTATGGCATAGAGGTCTCCGATGTCCAAGCACAGAAGTTGAAGTTCTTCGAGGAGCAGATCCGAGCGGGAAATCCGAGGAACGTTGAGCTCATCAAGGACTACATTGGCTTTGTCGGCGCTGACTACATGCGACAACTCACGAATGGCTGAGCATTGGGGTCATACCGACATGCCACTTCTGGTACTTCATGTACTGAGGGATCTTGGGTAATTCATGATGACCGTTTTGGCATCATGGGAGTGAGATAGGATTGTGTTTCACACCGCTGGTAATCGCATGATACCATAGGTAGGTGCACGTTTTCCGCTTGTAGCTCCATTACCTGTTTGATCCGACTTTCAGGCAAATGCAAGATCTTTTGCCAATTCAATTCAATAGGACATACTGGTTGACCTCCAATACACTTTTGAGAACATGATTCGTTCTCCGGTTTTTACATCCACTCATCTCCCTTCCCCGTCGAAGTACGGATGTGGGGGGTGTCAATAGGGATGAGGTCCCAGTATAGTTGCTATATAGGTACATGCCATATACTTTTGGCTCAAGTGCCCAACCAGGTGAAAAGGAGCTTTAGCGCGCGAGCTTCATGTTGAACTAAGGGCTAGAACGGGGCCAGGGCACACCTTTCCATCCGTTCGCAATATATATATATATATACATGAAGAAGATTCGTGTTGTTGTTTTGCATACATGTTTTCGGGAGCGGACTGACTCGAGCAACAAGAAGTATCCGGACGCAGAAAGATGTTTTACTAGAACTTAGCCGACAGCCTACAGCCTTTGTGGGCCTCTCTTTTGTGGCACGGGTCGCAACCCCCTAAAGGCAAGACTGGGACAGCAAGCATCAGCGTTCGGCTTAGCTACTGGACACTCAATTCCCTGCAAGAACACCGTGGTTTTCAAGCTTCCACACTGAATGAGCAGGTCTCGCTAACTGGACCCAAGCATAAAGATCATAAAGCGTTTTGCTCTTGCAAACAGAGACATGAGACAATTGAGACATCAGCCTCAAGCTTCCACAACGTGTGCTGCACATGGACTTAGAACGTTTGTGAGTGCTTTAGCTTTCTGTCCTGTCCTAGGCCAACATCAGCATCTGCAGCGCGAGCGGCCCAGAATCTGCCAAGACCTGCAGTTTGGTCAAAATTGAAAAATAATCCCGCCCTATGGTTTTGAATGGTTTTGAATCGTTTTGATGCGTTCAACGCTTTGCTGCTTTTCAGAAGTCCGTCTCCAGAGGTGGATTTCTGTGCCTGAAGACTCCACACTGGTGTTGCAGGCGTATACGAGTGCTTTGGTTTCCTTGCCGTTGCTGTGTTAGTGTTACAGGGCTACGTGGAGACTGGTCCTGTCGTTCAGCATGAAGCTGAGAACCAAGACTTGTTGCAGGGGCCCCAAGTCGGCAATCCACATGCCGCCACAGCTGACCTCTATTTCATGAGAGGACGCCTTCGGTAGAGCGCAGGAGCGACTCAAATGGCATCCTCTACGGGTTGGCGGGAGAAGCGCTGTAAACTCAGGTTGCTTGAAGTTGCTTGTGTTGCATATCCGTCTTAACTTCAACCAAACTCTCGCGGAGAAGCTGGACTGCAAGAACGTCTTTTCATCCGCATTATGTCGATGTTGTCGAAATGCAAGACCCTCTATATTGAAGGCTTCAGGAGCTCAAACGTTTGCCGTTTCGTTGCTCAAGCCATTTCACCTGATCTCATGATCTCTCTCCTTGGCACGTGACTTCGAAGTCGCGGTCTCGTAGAAACAGTGGCCTTCTGAAATTGGATTCGATATGATTCTACCTTTTGTGCACGTTTAAGCGAACTCCCTCCTGCCAATCTACTCGTGTGGATCGCTACCTTTGTCTCGAGATGTGAATGTGTCCTCGGTGGTTTGACCGAAGACCCCTTTTTTTGAGTGCAACATAGTGCAACCCTGGAAACATTGGACAGGTGATCACGTGCCCTTCTGGATATGCAGTGATTGGATGTAATTGGCCATTCTCTATACATGCTTTCTCGCTTATATACCAAGATTCATTTGAGAGGTAGGGTGTTGGCGATGTTCTTCGAACTGTGTGGCATTCAATGATGACCAGGCTGACTGTGGTCCACATTGTGCATTGTACCAAATATCGTGCAGTGCTTGAGTGTGCAGCGTGCAATTCTTGCTTGTTGCTCGCGGGTCATCAGATCTTCGTTCTCCTTGCTGAAAGCTTGATGACCTTGACTTTGGACTTGTTTGGCTTGGTCAGTTGCGATTCGGCCTTACAAAAGCTTCAAGCAGCTTTTCCGGAAGCTTGTTTCAGTCCCCTAGTAGGCTGATCACCTGGGCCAAAGCCAGTTCCATAAAGCATCCTGTGTTGGAGCGCACCGATCTGCCGCGCGTTAGGTCAATGTTCTTTCCACCTTGGAGCAAGGTCGAGCCTTTGAGATGGAAGCCTGACGATATTTTTGCTTCATTTTCTGGCAAGTTTAGTTTATCCAAAGCACATTTGCCCTAAGTTAAGATGCATGAGTCATGTGTTTCATAAGCCTGTTGGTGGCTTTGAAACAGGGGCTGCCCGGCCTCCTGTTTGTTGTTCATTTGTTGTTTATCTTTTTTATTAGTATACATATTATGATTTTTACTTTTCAGCCCGTCCTTAATTAAGTAGACGGTCGACGCCTACTCAATTAAGCAAGGGACAAACTTGTTCGCTCCTAGCTACTTGAACGCTACTACATATGGACGCAGGATAGCTCACGCTTCTTCATTTGATTCCTAGATGTTTAGGGCATTTACAAGTAGTTCCCGGGCAAGCCGGCGGCGGAAGTTTCCAAAAGAATAAACCTATAGGAAATGGGCATGTGGCAGGCTGATTCGCCGAGCTGCGATGTTCTTTGACAAAACAAGTTGGAACCGACCAACTGTCTCGCAGGAAAAAAACGTTCTTCATGCATTTTTGCAAAATACAGAATAGAGATGACTCAGCCGCGTACTAAAGTTGTACTACAAAGTCGCCAGTTCTCAGCTTCCAGCTCCACGGCTTGCTCCGCGTACTAGAGTTGTACTACAAAGTCGCCAGTTCTCAGCTTCCAGCTCCACAGATACTCCGCGTACTAAAGTTGTAGTACAAAGTCGCCAGTTCTCAGCTTCCAGCTCCCCAGATTGCTCCGCGTACTAAAGTTGTACTACAAAGTCGCCAGTTCTCATCTTCCAGCTCCACAGATACTCCGCGCACTAAAGTTGCACTACAAAGTCGCCAGTTCTCAGCTTCCAGCTCCACAGATTGCTCCGCGTACTAAAAGTAGTACTACAAAGTGGCCAGTTCTCAGCTTCCAGCTCCACAGATTGCTCCGCGTACTAAAGTAGTACTGCAAAGTGGCCAGTTCTCATCTTCCAGCTCCCCAGATACTCCACGCACTAAAGTTGCACTACAAAGTCGCCAGTTCTCCTCTTCCAGCTCCCCAGATACTCCGCGTAGCAAAATTGCACTACAAAGTCGCCAGTTCTCAGCTTCCAGCTCCCCAGATTGCTCCGC